CCGCCTGTTAGTTGGCAATGTTCCAAACCACGTATTTTAGCACAACGTCTGTCGTACCATGTATAGTGGGCTAAACGCGCTGAAACATCGATCTCACTCGCCACCCCTATCCCCAGGCTCCAGCTACTGTCAAGACCGGCCAGTTGTCCGGTCTGGTGCGGTGAATGGTAGAAGAACATAAAAAAGCGCATACCACAACAGAAGGACTGTTCAATTTAGATGGTAGGCAATAAGATGCGGTAATGAAACAAATGAATCAAACCGTATCAGAAATGACAAGCAGCCTTTGGTTGGTGTATGTAAAAGTTCTTGCTGCATGCTTCTGTAAGCGAAGGTCAACACATTTTAAGCAGGAAAAAACGCTAAAGCAATCTTAATGATCTAGATGGAGAAATGGCCTGAATACTCTAGCGGTTGCTAATGCAATGCGGTGACTTTTAGGCAATCACCGAGATAGGACTTCGATCAGTGAGATAAGAGATTCCGAGTTCACTCTGCAACTGGGGCACATCGCCTTATCAGTACAATTATCTTACGCATTTACAAAAGCCTTATGGGTTCAATAATAATTTTAACAAAGACTACCAGTACGAGCTATAGCAGCACTGCAATAAATGCAACAGCGCTAAACTGACTGATATAAAATTAACCCATTCCTTAACATTTCAGACACGGCGGAAGACAGTGGCCAGATTACATAGGGCAGTGCGTGAAATGTTTGGATGGACAGAATAGGGTCAACTGTTTAACAATACTGACAGAAATAATAGTTTTGCCTCAGCAGCCGTACAAGCCTAAAGCCGCCGTATCAGCATCGGACATTCTACTTGAATATTTTTCCTCCTCCTAGTGGATACAAGTGCATAGGTTTTTGGCAGGGAAGGCGTGGGCAAGCTGCCGTTCCAAGGCCACAAATTGCGATTCCTCAAGTTCGGGTAGCCACCATATCTGATTGGACAAAAGCCAAGTAGACCAGTAAACGCGCCTCTCCAAAACACTTCCTGCGCATGCACTATCTTTACCGATGCTGATGGTATGCAGCGAGGGATTCGATAAACACAGGGGGAAGGGGGGGGGGTTGGGAGGGGAGTGGTAGGCTGACAGTTCAGCAAACGACAGCGACAACGGCCCGGTAGTATTGCTATTGGTAATCTTGTTCAAAAAGCTACCTAAAAGTGGCACACTGGGTAGAAAAAGTGCAGGCAGAAAGAGGAAATATGCGCTCGCGATTTCTGCACGTGAGGCAGCATGTTGGCGGATTCAGAGCGGTCGGAATTAAAAGACAATTGAACTAGGGCCATCAGGAATTCCTTACAAACTAAAGCTTTATTCAATGGTGCCACACTGGAGACTTCACTACAAACTGACGTGCATAAAACAGAGGCTTAGGAATAGTAATGAGGCAGCCCTTCAAAGACCTAACGACTGAAATCTTTTCGGTATCACTTATGGATTAAAGCCTGCATACATAATCTGAACAGTTGCAACAGGTTCCAAAACTACCGTAAAACCCACTTGGTCTCGTGGGTAAACCGCGCTGGCACTTCCTCTTGAGGCACAACATACAAACGAGGAAAGTTCACATATTTGCATACCGTAGAAAACGGTCAGAGGGGGGCGAAAATATTTTTTACAAAGGCAAAAACGCACTGAAAAATCGCAAGGCTTATACAGTGAGAGAGGAGGGTATGCAAGAAATTAAGTTTGAAAATGCAATAAAGGGTTTATTCAACTCATGTAGGCAGATCTCATAAGTACTTTAGTAAAATGGCAGCAAA